GGAAAAAAAATGACCAATCAGCATTCAATTACGTACGCTGTGAGCGAGCTTACGTTTCGAGCCCAATGTTCCCAAACTCGTTTTCTGGTTACGGTTCATTATGCTAATTCTAGCGCCTGGCGAATCCCGTTAGTCTGAACGCCCGTCAAAGTTAAGCCGGGCTTAACATTGAGCCGGGCTTAACTCAAGCCTGGCTTATCTCCAAGTCTGAACGTAACCTTAACGCACGGCAAAGTTAAGGCGGGCTTAACTCAAGCCAGGCTTATCTGCAAGTCTGAACGTAGCCACTGTCGTTTTGTGGGACTAACAATATCAAAGGGGCGGGGCTTAGCGGAAAGGTTTATTTAAATTGAAACAATTAAAATCATTTTGTATGATTGTCAAGTAAATGTACCTATGTTTTAGATTGTTGCAGTTTATTACTTATAATATTTATAACACCTAAAGTTTTCATTTTAGGTGTTGCAGAGACGACAAAATAGCACCTTTAATTTTAACAGAACGTGGGCTGAATACCAACGTGGCTTCGGCCACATAGGAGGCGATTTCTGGATGGGGCTCGACTTTATGCACAAGCTCACGTCCGGCGGAGACTTCCATCTCCGCATAAATGTCGAAACAAAAACGGGAGAGGTTTTCTCATCCACTTATGATTCATTCCGCATTCTACAAGAGAGTAAAAATTATAAGTTGAAAATTGGAAAGATCACAAATGACGATGGTGGTAAGTATTATTTTTACTATATTTTGACGTCCTTTGTCTTCCCATTCTTGTCGGTACTGTAATTATGTTTAGAAGAAAAAAAAAGATTAGATAAAAGGCTGTGAAATCGAAATTTTGTTGAAGTTTAGTTTCTTTTTTTTTGTTTATGTTTGAAATTCATTTCCTTGTTATCAATAACAACAACTACAGCAGTCACTCCAGAGTGCAATAATAATAAATAATAATAAAGATGTGTATAAGAGACAGACCCGGCCCCGTGCATAAATACTGGACATGACAATACGCAGGCCGTTTATGTTGGGCGAATTCAGGCCATGTATGATGGGGAAACTCCATTATTTTCTTTTATGTTTTGGGGTAATTTCCTTGACCTTAACCTTGGTTCTGTCTTTTTTTTCGAATAGGCACCATTCCAATAATTGTTATGATTAATATGATAATTGGTTGACCCTTTGAGAAATTACCTGTTTTCCTTCACACACTATTTTATTTTAGAATTATCTTGTTTTTTGTTTTATAGATTCATGTGAAGCACGCAGAGTAACTGCGCAATAAGAAAAATGATTTTTTTTTTCACTGTTTTTGATAATTGCATGTTTGTATTTTGTATAAGTGACACACACCGACAGTATTTTTTTTTCGTATATGTGATCCTTGGTCACTTCTGTTGTATTTTTGAAAGAGGCAAATAAATGTTTACTGAATTGAATTCAATTGTATGAAAATGATAATGAGTATTTGCAATGCAATAACTAATGTTGACTAATTATGTATAATTATTTTGATGATTGATGATGTTCCCTAATGATAATAAGGATTAATAATAAATATTATTACAGTACTATTTTTATGAGTAATAATAATTAATGATGATTATTGATGCCACGACCGTGATTATTAACAGTAATCAACGATGAATAATATTGATAATGATTAATTATAATTAAATGATGATGATTAAAGATCATGAAATTCATTATTAATAATGATGATTATTTTTATGAAGATAATTAATGATGATAATGACGAAGATGATGGTGAAAGCGTAGATACGCTCCAACGAAAAGACTACCAAGAACAATTTTTTATTGGCGCCTACATTTTCTGCTTGACCACACGACTGGCCCATAGACTAAATGTAAATGGCTTATAAATATAGGTCGGTCATTAGAGTAAATACACAGAGACCTCACCCGAGTAAGCCCAACATCATTGAATGGACTCATCATTTAAAAAAACAAAAAGAGGAATTTGTAAAATCCTAAGTAAAAGAAGCAGAAAATATTGAAACACGATCAGAATATAGCCTGGAATGTAGGTTATATTTATTGGGTTTACATAACAACAACTTTTTTAAATTAAAATTTTACTTTTACTTTTTAAACATAGGTCCCGTGATCAGTAATGAACGCAATAGAGGATTCTCAACCTACGACAAAAACAATGATAAGAATACACAGAATAACTGCGCCTCAGAATTTGGGGGTGGTTGGTGGTTTAAGTCATGTTCGTATTCATGCTTTCTAAACGGTTTATATACTTCGAGTTTCAAGTGTGACATTAATGGTGAAATGCAACAGCCGATTAGGTCGTCAGTAATGATGATTAAGCGCGTGTAAAAGTAAATTCCTGTATTTTGAAAAACCTTTTCAAAAATCATAATACTGTACTGTATAAGTATTCTAATACCACTAAAAGATGCAACATATGTAGCTATTGAATAAAGAATGATCGACAGACATAAAAGTACTGCAAGACACCTTGACATGCTTGAGACATTGATATTATTCATGTCACAATAAATATCGATGCCTTAATCAAGTCAAAGTGTCTTGAAGTAATTTCATTTCTGTCCACTTATCTATAATTGAGGCATACTTGGAACTACATAATTTTTTTATTAATTTCATAAATCGTTTATAGTAGAACCGATGGACGCCCATGGCTTAAGGCCTTACAGCCTCATATTCCGTAAAATTATATACGTATGATGTTTTTTTTTCTCCCTAACGTTTGTTGAAAACTGACAGTTTAAGTAGCACGATGCTTAGTCAAGTTCCCCGATCAAAACAGTCGTTGAATAATTGTATAGGCCTAATAATAAGCAGGCATTTTGGATTTTGGCGGCCATCTTGAATTTGAGGCAAAATTCTTGGTGGCCTTCGATTGATCTTGAAAGAATTTGGACTGAGATAACAACAAATCCACTGAAAAAACATTTACAAAACCGAATAATTTGCTTATATCTCTAATAATTGTAATTTTTGGTAACCATTTTGGATTTTGGCGGCCATCTTTGATTTGAGGCGTAATTCTTGGTGGACTTTGATTGCGTGAAAGGTTTTAGGTCTAAGGTCAAACCCTCTAAAAAAAAAAAACCAAAAAAACGTTGACAAAACTAAATGATATGCTGTATCCCTAATGGTTTTAATTTTGGCGGCCATCTTGGATTTGAGGCAAAAATCTGGGTGGCCCAAGCTAATTTCAAATAGAATGTGGTTAGGGTTATAAAATCGTTAATAAAACCTTCACAAACAAAAAGGCAGTTTTCCTTGGTTTTGACCTTGAACTAATAATAATAATAATAATAATAATAATAATAATAATAATAAAGATTATAAAGCGCACATCTCCACTAAAGGTGCTCAATGCGCATAGACAATTAAACCAACAAGATCTAAATAATTCTAAGTTTTCCTTGGTTTTGACCTTGAACTAATAATAATAAATAATAATAATAAATAATAATAATAATAAATAATAATAATAAATAATAATAATAAATAATAATAATAAATAATAATAATAAATAATAATAATAAATAATAATAATAAATAATAATAATAAATAATAATAATAAATAATAATAATAAATAATAATAATAAATAATAATAATAAATAATAATAATAAATAATAATAATAAATAATAATAATAAATAATAATAATAAATAATAATAATAAATAATAATAATAAATAATAATAATAAATAATAATAATAAATAATAATAATAAATAATAATAATAAATAATAATAATAAATAATAATAATAAATAATAATAATAAATAATAATAATAAATAATAATAATAAATAATAATAATAAATAATAATAATAAATAATAATAATAAATAATAATAATAAATAATAATAATAAATAATAATAATAAATAATAATAATAAATAATAATAATAAATAATAATAATAAATAATAATAATAAATAATAATAATAAATAATAATAATAAATAATAATAATAAATAATAATAATAAATAATAATAAT